CCGTGTGACCCCACCCGGGATGCAGGCCTCTGCCCCGCTGGGCCTGGCGTTTCAAGGGTTTGTCACTGTGTGCACCTTGGCTCTCCTCTGTATTAGCGGCTCCCATATTCTCAAATAGGGGACCCCTTTTCAGACCCCCCAAAATATGGCAGACTCACATGTGATAATGGCTGTATGTTTACCACTTCTCGATCAAGAAAATACAGCATGACAAAAGCCCGTAAAGAATTTAGGTATGCCGGGGCGCCTGGGCGGCTCAGTCGGTTAAGTGTTCCGACTCCCATTCAGGTCATGATCTCGCGGTTCACGAGTTCGAGCCCGGGGTCGGGCTCTGTGCTGACCGCTCGGAGCCTGGAACCGGATTCTGGATCCGCTTCGGATTCTGTGTCTCCCTCCTTCTCTGCCCCTCCCCCACTCTCATTCTCTCTCTCTCTCTCTCTCTCTCAAAAATAAACATTAAAAAAAAAAAAGTATGGGTGTAGTGGCTTCACCAAATCATGGGATTAAGGGTCATTTTGGTTTCTTCTTCTTTAATTTTGTTACTTTCCCCATTTCCAACTACTATATTGCTGCTCTTATCCTAAAAATATATATACGCTTTATTTAAATGCTTTGTAAACTGTAAGCGCTTTCTGTGAGGCTGTCTCCTCATCTGTGGGGTGGGGCCGAAAACGGCACAGAGCTTCTAGGGCTGCTATGGAAACGTACAAGTCATCACGTTCTCGCAGAGGGACTGCTATGCAGTCAGGATGGAAAGCACTCAACACGGCGTCTGGCATGTAGAAAACATCCATGACTTCATTTCTTGGTTTGTTGACTGACTGACGGATTGTTCCCGCTATCGAAGCAGGAGAATCACAGAGAGACCGCCCTGCCCTGGGGATCACAGCCCAGTCTCTCAACTTTGTTTGGACAGCTCCCCGCGGGCACATTGGGGACAGTCCGGTTCTTCCCCCCCCCCCCCCCCCCCGCCAACAAGAAAACGAAATCACAGGTCAGGACCCCAACCCCAACACGATCAGGATGCTGGCTGCTCGGAAGCTGAAAAGCAGCCAGCACCATCCGGGGCGGCACCTTTAGGTCTGGATAATCCTCTTTAGGGACAGGTGCTGTTTTAGCACTGGCAGTCTCCACCCTAACCCAGCTTGCCCCGTGGGCTTGCGCAAGGGGACTTGACTTTTAAGGCAGGTCTCCCTGCCTTTGCAAGCGGAGGGGAAATGAACCGATGTTGACTGAGAATATTCCAGTACTCTGGCAATACGCCAGACTGTGCAAGGTGCTTTTTCCTACTTTATTTCATTTCAGGTGACAGCAACTCTATGAGACAGACATGGTCATGTCCTATTTTTCAGATGAAGAACCTGACGGTCAGCAAATATAAGAAATGTGCCCAGAGTCAAAGAGCTTGTAAGAGGCCAGCCTGGAATTTTAACTTTGGTCCAGTTAATTCAGAATCCTACACGCCGCTGTCCTAATCGCACAGACTTGGAGAGGTCACTCTGAACGCTGATCCTAATCTGCAAAGCCCTTTCCTGTCTTCAAAGGGGAGAGTCCACAAAACCTGAGGCATTGGGCACTTTTCTCCTGCCTTCTTCAGCATCTTTACCCCCACCCCCGACTGGCAAAGACAGATGACCTGCCCAAACAGGAAGGTTCATCTGGGGGCAAAGAGACCCTTGGTCGGTATGAGACATTCTTTGATCAAAATTTAATGTGCATGAGAAGCACCACTGACTGATCTCATTGGTTAAGGGACTCAATTCCAATAGCAAATTGAAGGAAGCATGTGTGCCAAAGAAAATCCTTTTCAAAAGCGCCTGGGTGGCTCGGTCAGCTGAGCATCCGACTCTTGATTTCAGCTCAGGTCACGATCTCAGGGTTCTGGGATCGACTTCTGCTCAGCATGGAGCTACTTAAGATTCTGTCTCTCTCCCCCACTCTGCCCCCTCTCTTCTTGCTCACTCTCTCTCTCTCTCAAATAGAATTAAAAAAATAAGGATGTATGGTGGTGATTTGTCTCAAATAAATGAAAACCAATTGTGAGCTTTAAAAAATCTTTTAAGGCTAAGTGATAGGAATCAAGCCTATCACTCAGTATTTATAGACCCACGATTGAACTCTGCCATCACCGCCCCCTCCCTCCTAACTGGGATCTACTGAGGTCAACTATAATTCTCAAGCCAGCATGTGCTAGAAAAATAATTAACTCCTTTATCAACAGAGATTGGAAATTTCCTAACTCCGCCGAACCACAAAATATTAGCTCATTAAGTGTCATCATTTAGAGATGATGAAAAAGAGGCCAGGGAGTCGAGTGCCTTCCCAGAGTCTTTTTTGCAGGGACTTCAGGGATGTCGGTGTCTAGGGGGAATCAAGGTCACAGAATACGTAACTGTCGGGCACCCCAATAATTTAATTCAGTACGAGTGAAAATGACTTCACTTCTTGGTGGGGACCCCGCATTTCCTTAGGTAGCAATGCAATAATCCAGGCCATAGAAGTGGGCTTGGAAGCCACAAGGAAGAAATGGGGAGAACGGTGGAGTCCACCTGCCTTGTCTACACTCTCCCTGAAGAGAGCAGACTGGACTGTCCACAGACCACAACACTCTCGGACGGCAGCTTCCAATCCCAAAGGCAGCGAGACTCACTACTGATGTGCTTTGTCAAATCTGTCAGCTTGGAGACGTTCTAAAAGACCAAGTGAACTGTAAGACGGCTGGGGTTTGGCCCTTTTGAGGGACGGCCCAGAACGTATTTGGGCAACGTGAGTCCTTAATTCCGAAAGTTAAAATTATTCTAAGTCCCGGGCATGTCAGGTACAGCATGGTGACTACAGTTAATAACACTGTACTGCATATTTGAAAGCTGTTAAGGGAATAAGTCTTAAAAGTTCCCATCATCACAAGAAAAAAGAAAAAAAAAAGAAACCTCTGTAATTATGTGTGGTGAAAGATGTGAGTTAGGTTTCTTGTGGTGATCGTTTCGCAATACATACAAATATCGAACCATTATGCGTACGTGAAGCTAAAATCACGTCGTATGTCAGTGCCTGAACATAAAATAAGGTAACTCTGTGATTTCCATGATGGACAGGCACTCAAATAACCCAAAGGGCAGATAATAATATAGTAAAAGTTGTCAGACCTGAAAACGAGGCTATGATGTTTTATATAGAAGCTTTGGCTTTCAAATTATACGTTTAACTAGATCAACACATAAATTGTCTCCTGGTTGAAAGCATCCGACACGGAACGGATGTGACCATGTGCATCCTGGGTGACATCAAGACCCTCCGTGTGACGGAGGAAACACTGGTGCCCTGGATGAAGCACCAAGCTGGATAAATCCGGCTGTCTGATTGATGAGCCCCGATCGGTGCTTTCTGTGAGGCTGTCTCCTCATCTGTGAGGTGGGGCTGAAAACAGCACAGAGCTTCTAGGGCTGCTATGGGAACGTGTAAGTCACCACGTTCTTGCACAGGGGCTGCTATGGAGTCAGGATGGAATGCACTTAACACGGCGTCTGGCGTCTTAGAAAACATCCGTGACATCATTTCTTGGTTTGTTGACTGACTGATCGATTGTAACTCACCGGAAAACAGACAGATGTTTGTTTGGAGTATGAACAGGGTTGAAGTTTTGTCCTTCATCACTCCCTATGGTTCTCTGCACCAGTCGGTTGAGTAAGTGCCCCGCCTGACTCAGCAGCGATTCTGTGTCAGTGCCATCTGTGGCTTCCCTCGGTGTGGACGGACAGCACTTTGCACCGTTGTGCGTGCAAACTCACGCCCCCGTTTATATTAGAACACAATGCTAGGGGCGCCTGGGTGGCTCAGTCAGTTAAGCATCCGACTCTTGGTTTCGGCTCAAGTCACGATCTCATGGTTCGTGGGTTCGAGCCCCGCATCGGGCTCTGCGCTGACAGTGTGGAGCCTGCTTGGGATTCTCTCTCTCTCTCTCCCACCCGCCGCCTCTGCCCCTCCCCTGCTCGCTCGCTCTCAATAAATAAATAAATAAATAAATAAACTTTAAAAGAAAAAGAACACAGTGCTAACCCCCCGACCCGCTGCCAGCGTTTGGTCACACGGAGGAGACTGCTCCCAGAATTCCAAAGAGTAAATTGAGAGCCTTTTAAGGAAAAGTCTGTGGAATATAAAATAAAAATGCCTTCGGGGATCGACCTACAGCGATACCTCCAGGTGTGGCGGGGAGGAGAGGACTCACTTGGGGCAGACTGCTGGACTAATGGAGCTCGTGAGCGTGTTAATCGGTGGGGGAAATGCTTCTAAACGTCATCCAGTAATGCAGCCCTTGCCTGGTCCACCGAGACGCTAGGTGCCAACATCTCCGTGTAACTGAACGCAGAACCGCCGAGATTCCAGACCCTCAACACGCCCGCCAGAGATGCCGTGTATGCATCCAAGCGCATCAGTGAATCCTTCTAGGATAGTCTCTCCTCTGGTGTCCAAGCCAAAGAGAAAGCCTGTTCCCAGACCGAGCAGGGCTTTCAGAAACTAGGTGACTATTCACCAAGGAGACATTGAGGACATTTGCCTGCAAATAATTGTGATAGAAAAGAATCAATTAGGGCCCCATCTGCAGTTCGTTAATACGATCCGTTGGAAAAGGAGGCCAGATTCACCAAGTCGGTCCGAAAGGCTAAAAATAGGACTAATGTGAGCCTGGCCCAGTGCACTGAAGGCAATAAAAAGATCTCTACATCTGCTAGAGCAGGAGTCCCTGGACGCTCCCTGACTCTTTACTACTTATCCTCAGTGGTAATTGGGAAGGGAGGCATTTATCTGCTTTCCAGAAAAAGCAAAAAACATTCCATGAGGATCACTGTGGCCAAAAATATCATCCTGTGCTGATGCAGGAGAATCAACAGAGGTTGTTTTCTTATAGCACAAATCTCCTTCTAAATTGTCCGAAGGAATACATCTCCCTCGAAAAGATTTACGAGTCCCTTGGGCAGCAATTGCCAAGATGCGGTGGGGCAACGGTCATGCCTTTTTTTTTTTAAAGGAGTTTATTTATTGTGATGTGTTTATTCCAAAGAATATAAACACACCCAACCTGTGACTCCAAGGCTTTGCCGTCTGCAGAGATGGAAAAGAGGGAATCAGAAGGTGGCACACGAACATTTGAAAACTGGAAGATAGTCTTCTAGGGCCGAAGCCGGTTGGGTCCCCATGGCTTGGACAAGTGATGTGTGCACAGAATCATTTTCACAGCCTCGCTGAACACAGAACCAGCGAGATCTCCAAATGCCCAGTGAAAACCCGCAAAGTTGCAAGGACCACTTGGTTTTCTCCCTCCATTAAGAAGTCTTCATCCAAATGACCTGAGCGACAGTGTAGGATTCCTTTTCGGATCACCAATCTCTGGGCCCAGATCTCTGAAGTTGAACCAAGCGTACCCCATGCCCCGGAGGGGACAAGAAAGAGCGTTTTACCTTTTTAAGCCAGCTAGAGGCTATGGGCACAAGGAAGGAGTTCCTGAAGACTTTTGACAGCTTGCTCCACCCCCAGGCCCTTATTCTCATTTTTTGGACCACAGCCATTCACATCCTGGGATGTTGAGGGGATGCCCCGGTAGGAGGCACGTGGACCCTGGGTGCACCCGGATGGGACTGTGATTTCAGAGGACACCTGAAATCTGGTGGGGAGGTCAGCGTGGGGAGTGAGCCATCAACTCACACGGAGAAAAGAGGGGTTTGATGCCTTTTTACTTCTCACTCAACCTCTCGTCGCTGGTTAAAGAAACTGTGGCTCATTCCACGATGGAATACTATTGAGTTAGAGCAGATGCGGAAGCAGAGAAAAAGAGAAAGGAGTTGCGGAATAACGCGTTAGCATGATTTGCTTCTGTGCAAAAGGAGAGGACTTAAATATGCTTGTGTATAAACGTAGAGTGTTTCTGGAAGGATTTACCGAAAGCGTTAACGATAGTTGCTTATCCAACAACGGTAAGAGAGGGGGCACCGAGTGTGGGGAGAAGGCTTTTAAGTTCCACTTTAGAGCCATCTGTGTGTTGGCAATTTTTGCAATGATCTCTACCGCTCTGATAACAAAGGCCTTTTCAAAGATAGCAAACAATGGGAAAATAGTCCAAAGCTTGCGTCGATGCCCCCAGAATTTTAGTCCACGGGACGTTCGGTAGAGTGAGCGGTTCACTTGCATTTACAACATAATCACAGTACGTAATGCACGTTACCTAATAATCATCACGACGGAGACCAGCATTCCCATATTAACCACGATCCAGCACGCACGTTGCATAACAGTCTCACGTAAGAAACCTCTTTCTGCAGAAGCACAGGATGGACACGTGGGCATGAGCTTGGATCGCCCCGGCTCCAGCTGATGAGACAGCCCCTGTCCCTCTGGCTGTAATCACAGCCCCCGATCCACGTCAGGCACTGGCTGAGTCGCATCGCAGACATCAGCTCTCGTCTTCCTGGTAACTCTCGGCTGTTGGTTCCACGTCTCTGTTTACAGACGAGGAAACCGAAGCTTTGAAAGTTTACCCCATTATTGTGACAGCGACACTGGCACCCTCCCGGCCACAGCACGAAGTTCTCCCTCGGATCACGTTTCCCCATCCTCCCGACAATGAAATGTGAGTAGAAGTGAGGTGTGTCGTTTGAGGCTCATGTAACCTGCGCTTTCTCTCGCCCGCCGCGCGGAGATCTCCGAGGCCCTAGGGGTCGGCGAGCCTGGGCTCCTGAATCGCCACCTGAGGACTGTCACCCACTGTCCTGAACTGGACGTAAATATCAGTGCTAAGGCTGTGACATCGGAGGGGTTCTTTGTTACTGCTGCCCGTGTTACCCTAAGTAATGCAAAGTGCCAGAATGCAGTTGGATTTCAAAGGAGAGAGGGCTGGGCCAGGACGCTGGGGCCATTCGCCTGCAAAGCACACTCCCTTCCCGCCATGCTGAAATGCTCCCAAGCCGTACCGTGTAGCTACTCAGCTCATCTGTGGCCTTAGCCAGCCACCGGCCCACCGTGGGGCCTGGGACCCAAGCCAAGAGGCGAAACGATAGGGGTCGGGGCAGACGGCACCCCAGCCATGCAACAGCTCCCCGGCTACCTTTCTCTGCACAGAAGAGGAGGGGGCGGGGGGCCCGGGGCGGGGGGGCTCCCAGACAGGCTGCAGTTCATCAGCAGTGTCTTCGGGAATCGCTCCGCCAGGGAAGGCTCTGATGCCAGCTTCACCTCCCGTCTTCCTCCATCGCCTGCCTCAGCCCCTGCTCTGCGACGGCTGATACTCAGACCGCTGTGCTTCCAACCGCCTTCCCTCTGGGAAGCTGTGGGCCTGGTCGGCGATGGCCTTCTTGTCTACTCGTTCCCCCAGCCCGTTTCTGGTCACAGATGGAGGGATGTGATGAGCCACCGAGAATCCGAGGAGGAGGCTGTCTAGTCCAAAAGGGGCTGCGGATGTGGGAGTCGGGATCAGAGCTCCAAAAATATTCTGTATTTCAGAAGCTGTCTTATCCCCTGCGCGGCTGGGTGGCCCAGAGAGGTCCATTGTCCGGTGAGGGGCCCTCGTAATGAGCTGCGGGGAACAGAAAAGCCATCATCTTTGGGGAACACGGGATGTGGCTTCGATTTTGGGTGTATCTTTGGCTCCTTTGTTTAGGCGTGGTCCCTGCAAGCTAAAAAGAGATGTATACCACACAAATAAGGGGAGAGAAGCAAGGAGAAAAAACATTCGAGGGGTCTTTGCTGACCTTCCGGGGGGTGGGGGTACCTTAGAGGAAGGCTCAGTTCTTGGGCTATCCGTTAGCCACTGCTGGGCCCGCCCGCACAGCTTCCCGGCACCCTCCATGAGACAGCGGCGTGCTGGTGATAGACCTCACATCTGTGCAAGGCCCCGGAGGAGTCAGCTCAGACCACGTCAGCTCTCACTGCATGACTTCCATGAGGACAGCATGGCTGGCGGGTGGTCAAAAACCAGAAGCGAGGCCCAAACCCTGGAGACAAAGGCGGAACTGTCCGGTCCAAACCAACCATAGCCACTGGGGAATGAGAACAACGTGCTTATGTGGTAAGCCCTGCAGAGAGATACTTTTCTAATATTTTCCAAGACCTCAGCTTTCTTTTCTTTTTTTCTAATAAAATCCTACGCAAGACAATGTTACACGGCAGTTGCTTCACCAACGTTGCCTCACATTCTCACTGGCAGTATTAGCGTTTAACCATCCTAGAAAACCAGGATATTTGTATCCTGAAAACGCAAGTCATTAATTTCCTCTTTCAGTTCTAAGTGTTTCACTGGTACCTCCAGAAGCTTCTGTGAAATCTGGTAAGAAGAAAGGTAATCGATAATGTTATTTTAGGGGGCACCTGGGTGGCTCAGTTGGTTGGGCATCCGGCTTCGGCTCAGGGCACGATCTCACGGTTCATGAGTTTGAGCCCTGCTTCGGGCTCCGGGCTGACAGCTCAGAGCCTGGAGCCCGCTTCGGATTCTGTGTCTCCCTCTCTCTCTCTCTCTCTCTCTCTCTCTGCCCCTCCTTCACACTCTGTCTCTCTCCCCTTCTCTCAAAAATAAATAAACATTTAAAAAACTTTTTTTAAAAATAATGTTATTTTAGGATAAAACACTGTATTAAATTTTTTTTTTTAAAAAGAAAAGCATTTTTTTGTCTCCATTCTAGTTGTTTAAAGAACTGCAATCATTGGGAATATTTCTTGGTTAAGTAGCACGAGTGCATTTATCAGCGGTATCCTTTTCTTATTTCTGACAACGTAACTTTCCGTACATTGGCGCACTCCCTAGCCTGACAACAGATACCTCCTCCAGTTTGTAGGACACAGTCACACTTTGTTCCAGACTCCCTGGAAGGCACTGAGGATCCGGCGGTGATCAGCTCAGCCCTCGTGGACCTTATGCTCTGCTGGCATGAAGAGATGAACCCCAAGAAGCTGAGCCGCCATATCGACTCGTACTCGGCAGACCACCCTTGTTGCCTAAGGTACAACATTTCAGCTGCATATCCACGTGCCCCAGAAACACAGTGGGAAACCTGAGCCACCCTTCCTCATGACTTCAGGCCTTGCCCCGACTCCAGTGGAGACAAGCCAAAATGTTTCCGCTCCCAACCCAGGGCAGATCTCAAATATGACACGTGACTCAAAAGCAGTCGGTGAGATATGGCCCCTTCGGCGAGGGTCTGATTGGTTCCAGAGGAAAGAGTTTAGACAGCCCGGCTCAGAGCACACGTCTGGAAGGGAGTCCTCGGGGCCTGGGTTTCTGGCAGGCCTCCGGGCTCAGGGACTAGCAGGGCTTGCTACGTGCTCACACGTGAAGCGCTGTGAGACACGCAGCCCATGGAAGCCAGCGGGGCTGGTCCCACCTGCAAGCTGCTTACCTCGCTCTACCACCCCCTGAGGGGGGGAGGCTGGAACATGTTTCCAGGGAGTGGCAGCCTCTTAAGGCTATAATAATGTCGATCAACTCGAATGGACTAATATCACAACACTGTGATGGGGTCTTCAAGAAAAGATACTAAAATGGTCGCGTTATCGGAGAGCTGAGCACGCTAAAGTTGACCGTCTTACTCTGGGCCAAGCCAAGTGGTGAGTCAGTCAGGGACAAGGCTGACATTTTCTTTTCAGCAAGTCATATTTCCTTCCATTAAAAAAAGTAATGGAGAAGCCAGACCCCAAACGACAAACGCTGTAAGATTCCACTTCTACGAGCTCCTGAGAGGAGTCAAATTCATAGAGACAGAAAGGAGACCGGTGGCCGCCAGAGGCTGGTGGGTGAGGGGTGGAAATGGGGAGTTAGCGTTTCATGGGGACAGACTTTCAGTTGGGAAGATAAGAAAGTTCTGGAGATGGACGGTAGCTGATGGTTGCCCACGGTGGGAACGTCCTTAATGCCACTTAAAAAATGGTTAAAGTGGTAAATTTGCGTCCTGTATATTTTATCACAATAAAAAAAGTTATGGAAATATTCGCTCTGATTCTTTAATTAGATCCTTTGAAGATGAATTGTGTTCTGTTTAGCATTTTCTTTCTGTATGTGGGCTGGCCTTTCCACAAGGCATCAGACAGAGACTCTTGAGGACAGAGACTATTATTTATCCTTTGAGCCCCTCAGCACCAGTACAAATCCCTAATATATAATGTGGGACAAATGTTATTTGAAAGAAAAAAAAAAAAGAATGAACAAATGGACCCAGCATTGCCTCATCAGCAAAGGTCATGTCACGGCACCGTGTTTTTTTGTAAAAACATGTTCACAGAACAGTAACAACAACAAAGACAAAGGACATTATTGAGTGTTTTGCATTCAGAGTAATTAAGATTCTCAATCCAAAAAAGAAAAAAATTGTTAAATACACATATGTAGTCATAGTGAAAGTTTCCTGCCTACATTTCCCATAAAGCTCTTACTTCACTCTAATAAGAGGTAGGAGTGATGAACGAATGAATGGCTTTCCTTCCTGGTCCACGGAGTTAGATTTTCCCCATCTGGATATCAGAGCATTCCATGCAGAGAAAGAGAGTGTCTTGCTGGTCCCTGAGGAAGTAAAGGAGGCACCTAAAGTTGGTCCAGCATCAACGTCCCTTTCCGGGGCAGCTCCCTCCTCTGGGTGAGACAGGAAGTGATCACTGGCCGCCTTCCCACTGACTCAGCCATGAAACCTTTACAGTAATTCGACTTGACTACACTGATGCTTCCTTGGGCGAAGACTTTCTCGTTTTCTGGTAAAGCAGATCTCTGAGGCGCGAGAAACCCAACAGCGAGAGACAGGAACAACAGAAAGCAATGCTTGCCTTACTCAAAGCCAGAGAGCACGGATGGCGGAGAGAACTGAGACGCCTTTCTCCCTCAGCTTTCTTTTCAGTGCTGAGCAACCCTCCCAGTGTCCTCAAATTCCTAAGGGTTTTTTTTTTTTTTTTAATCTCACATTTTGGTACTAAATAAATCCAACCATTTGTGCACTCTAGTCCTTTTTAGCAAAGAGTGCGTTAGTTGTTTTCCCTGCAGAACAAAACCAAAACCCCATCCAAATGAAAAGCTGCACACGAAAATAAGGGATGTCTTCTGATCAGTGCAGTAGAATTGCCATGAATTCGGTCAGGGTTCCTGGCCTGCTTCACCATTTTTTTTTTTTTTTTTTTTGGTGGCATTAAGTACATGCACGCTGCTGTGCAGCCATCACCGCCATCCGTCTCTAACGTTTGGGGAGATCTCAAAACATGTAATCATGGTGAGAAAGCTTTTTCTGGGCTCAGAAATTCGGAATGACAGAAACTATCATTTGTGGCATTATCATGGAGGAGAATCTGAAAAACCTCCGGCCACAAAATACCTAGATATGCTGTACAAAAATAACACACACGGTTTTAAAAGCACAGCTGAGATCAGTAAAGGAAATCCCTGAGGCCAAAGCGGGCTGAACACCGGAGCAGGTGCGGACACTTTGGCTGCCTGTGTGCAGAGGGAGCCCTGGCAGGGAACAAAGTCACCTTGAGCTTCAGAACCACAGGCCATGCTTCACGCAGCCTTGGGGTTTAAACTGACACACCTGTATGTTCTAGAAAGTCCATGCTGATTAGATAGCATCAAAAGAGTCCCAATCTAGTAATATCACAGGGGCACTTGCTGAAGCAAATGAGAAACTTCTCTATGGAAACAGATCCCCAGCCTCGGCCACACAAGATTCCCATAGTGCACGTTCTTTGAAATGGAAGTTCACAATCAAAAACTACAAAATGCTTCAAGGGACATGAGCACGAAGAACCAGAGCCAACAAACACGGCAGGCAGTAATGAACCTCAGGAACCCCCAAGAACATCAGATAATGAAGCTCTCAGAAGAGGCTATAAATTATGCCTAAATGAATTTAAAAATGTAGGGGCGCCTGGGTGGCGCAGTCGGTTAAGCGACCGACTTCAGCCAGGTCACGATCTCGCGGTCCGTGAGTTCGAGCCCCGCGTCAGGCTCTGGGCTGATGGCTCAGAGCCTGGAGCCTGTTTCCGATTCTGTGTCTCCCTCTCTCTCTGCCCCTCCCCCCTTCATGCTCTGTCTCTCTCTGTCCCAAAAATAAATAAACGTTGAAAAAAAAATTTTTTAAAAAATGTAAAAGGGAGGATCAAAATTATAAGCAAATAATCAGACTCGATTTAAAATTAAAAAAAAAAAAAAAAAAAAAAAGACCCAGGGGCACCTGGGCAGCTCAGTCGGTTAAATGTCTGACTTTGGCTCAGGTCATGGTCTCACGGTTCACGGGTTTGAGCCCCAAATCAGGCTCTGCACTGACAGCTCAGAGCCTGGAGCCTGCTTCGGATTCTGTGTCTCCCTCTCTCTGTCCCTCCCCTGCTCACGTGCACGCTTTCTTGCTCTCTCTCACAAAACGAATAAACATGAAAACATTTTAAAAACCAAATTTGAAAAATGACCAAATATAACTTCTAGAAATGAAATGTGCATCATTAAAAACAAAAACGTAACGAATGGGTTTTAAAGATCAGCTTAGACAGCTAAAGAGAGCATTGTGACCCAGGAAATGGTTTGGAAGGGGATCACCTGGAGTACGGCGCACAGAGACAAAGAGATTTTCAAAATGAAAGAGAAGTTGAAGACATGGAAGATGAACAAGAAGCTCTAGCAGGTATCACACTGGAGTTCCAGGAAGACTGG